CTAGGAAGGAAAGAAAATACATAGGAAGAATGCCAAACATTAGTCATAGCAGAATCCTTTCTGGAGGTTGTGCATAGAGCATGTGCAAATGGTGAATCCAAGTGGAACATTTACAAAGTCTATGTTTCTGCTCTCCTCATTTGGAGGAAGATACTGATAAGATTTGATGCCTAGGGGTTTTTGTATTTTTATTTATCCAAAAGCTTCCTGGACTACAAATGTTATCTTTTGAATTCAGTGGTCAGCAGTGATGATACAGGAGTGCTCAGTCATGCAGCTAATGTTGGCCAGTGGCCACCATGTTAATCCTGGCTAGCTCTTGCCAAGATGGGCATTGGCCTTCTGTTTCTTGTTGTGCAGAGTCAGATGAACATCCTGGCATATGGGCTCATCCTGACAAGGGGGCGGTGGTTAGTCTTTACAGCAAAGTTTTGCTTGTTATTTCGTGTGCCAATAGTGGTGTACGTAAAACAAGACAGGGAAATATCTGTCAAATCTGTAAGATCCACTCAGCTTCCTGCCATACAAGGTAATAGAAAATTGAGAATTAAATCCGGTTCTGGCTTCTAATTTGAACTGGAAATGTGACTTACTTGTTGAAATCGATGGGGAAAAGAAAGGCAAAAGAAATCCTACACGCTCATTTTGAATATTGCTATCTAAGATTTGAAAATCACTCTCATTTTTCAATATTGGTCATGTTTCTTCCCTAATTAAATCAAACAGTGGAAGCAAAATAAAATTTAGAATCTCTATTTATATGATAAGATATTTTCTATTGACTTTAAAGTTGCACTGGTCTTTCAGTTTTCTAAAATGCAAATGGGTACATTTGGTGACGGTTTTTGTGTGACATGTACTTTCATATTTTTATTCACTGCTGTTGCTAGTACAACTGTCTCATTTTTATGTCAACTTGACACAAGCTGAAGTCATCTCAGAGGTGGGAACATCAATTAAGTAAATGCCTCCATAAGATCAGGCTGTAGGTGACTTAAACAATCCTGAACAAACAAAACAAAACAAAGCAAAATTGGCTGGAGGTATCATCGCCAGGCTCCAGTAGGTAGTTCAAGATCCATGGCTACATATATGAATGGACCTGGTTCAACACACTGGATCACAAAACAAAACAAAACTGTTACAAAGGTAAGGCAAGAACTTGTAGATGTAAGAAGAGGTGGATAGAGGTGAGAAGGAAATCTAAGAAAATGGATAGAAGGAGAGAGTAACCAAATGCATTATAGACGTCTATGAAATTTTCTGGAAAAAATTAATAATAATAACAACAAAACAATAAACATATGCAAAAACTGTGTGTGTAGGGATTCAGCTATACACACCTTTATCACTCTCAAGCAACATAGGGTGGGGTGGGAGGACTGAGATACTCTTCCTGTTATTACATTGCTTGTTATGTAATAGACATGATTGTTACAGGATTGGTGGTTTCATGCTGTGTCTTTTTCTGATTTAATCTGATTACAGATATGCAAGAAAAAGACTGCAGAGTCAAAATTGCTTGTTGTGTAATAAAATCCTTTATCTCAGGGCTTGTCTGTATCCACTAGACGATGGGAAGATGACTTGTGAATCTGCAAACCTCAGATTCTTCATAGTTCTTGACCTAGAGTCATGAAGACTTCACAACAGCACACTCCTAAACACTGTATCTGGAAGTTTTTAGACACTTGGCATCCATACTAACACACAGAGAACTCTAGAGGAAGCAGATGTGTAATCTCCCATGGTAGACTAATGCATACTAGGTACAACCTAGCTTTCCTTTAACTTGTCCCAAATCTGTTTTTCTTAAAACATATAGCCCAGGCTGGCCCCAACTTCCCTCCATGATGGACTAAATTGTAAGGTGAAAGAAACCTTTCCCTTCCTAAGTTGCTTCTGATCATGGTGTTTCATCATGGCAATAGAACACACTAAGTACTAATAGATAATCTTGCAATGTGTTTTGCAGGGAATGTGGTAGTATATTACTTTATGCAAAAACATTTTGGCACTTTGAGAAGAAGGTAAACACCAATTTTATAAAATATGTAGCATGTTTATAATGAAATTCATTGCAGTTCATTTATTGCAAATTTGACTTGTGTATTTATTACTTACTTCAATTATCGATAAGGCACTCTACACAACATACAATGGGAGTATTTAAGCACTATTTTCATTTTTCACAGAACATTCTCAAGAGCTATTTAAAAATGAGCTTTGTTTGAGATTATAAATATTTCTCATATAATTCACATTTGCAATTATGATAACTCCTAAGCTTTTATATAAAAATGAAGAAATTTTAGTGTAATTAATAGCTTATAATTGTTCTGTTGAAATTAACCTAAAGTGTGAACTTTTCATTTCCTTGAAGTCTTGTATTTACTTAATTTATTCTAATGCTGTAATTGTTGCCTTGCAAAAGGGGAAGTTCTGTAAGTGGAAAATCTGTAAGTTGCAGAAATTTTTTTCTATGAAACATTGTTTTTAAATGTTATAAATGTATATAAGAATGATGCATCTTCATGATATAAAACATATCTTCTTTTTAATAATTTGATTCTTACTTTGTATTTAAAATATTATCCTTATTGCAATAGAATAGGCAAATAGTTTACACACATTGTTTGTGATTCATGTGTTCAAAATCCAATATTTCACAATCATCAGGGCAAAGTCAGAGGTTTATTGTCATACTGTTTGATATTGATAGATGTAAGAATTAGGCCAGTGATGTTGCATTCTGTAAACACTAGAGAAAATCTTATTATTATTTTATCATTATTTTATTAAACTTCTTATTATTATTTTGTGTGCTTGGGTGGTTCATCTGCATGTAATTCCCTCAGAGGCCTGAAGAGGGCATCGAATCTCCTGAGAATGGAGTTGTTGGATGGTTGGGAACAGCCAAGCGGGTACCCTGGACGCTCAGTCACACTCTGAAAGTGGAACAGTCGGTCCAGCCCAGACTAAAAACACCTTAATTTTACAAAACTATAGCACATAGTACAGTTTTTTGAAAAGATATTCATTTATTTCTGTGTATGTGCTTGTGTTTTTATGTATGTTTGTGTAAGTGTATGCACACGTGTATATGGGTACCCATGGAGGCCAGAAGAGAATATCAGAGCCGTTTAGTTGGAGATACAATATTCGTGAGTCACTTGACTTATGCACTGGGATCCGAGCTCCAGTCTTCATGATTAAGTGCTCTTAACCACTGAATTCTCTGGCTACCCCAATGTAGTCTTTTAATCTAAACGAACAAAACCCCAATACAATATTTGAATCATTGTTGATATAGTAGAACAAATTCACATATGCCTATGTATAGCCCTTTACTTTTACCCATTCTAGTCAAAATTTTAAAGCACATACAATAAAGCTTAATAGCTACATAATTTAAAGAGCAATGTTCACATTTTTGTGGAATGAGTCTCTACAAGTTTTTTTTTCTTACTTTCCAGTAAAACAGGAAATGACTATATTTCTTTTCCCATATCTGGGAAACCACTGTTTTATTTTCTGTTTTTATATGCTTGACAGTTATAGATGATTAATAAATAGAATTTTAAGGTATTTGATTTTTGATGACTGTCTTGTTTAATTCAGTAGGATATCCTCAATGTCCACTCACTCTGTATTTATGTGTAGTTGTCTATCTATCTATCTATCTATCTATCTATCTATCTATCCATTCATCCATCTATGAATACATCAACTATCTATCTATCTATCTATCTATCTATCTATCTATCTATCTATCTATCATCATAGAAAATACATATTTTCTATGCTAGAAGTGAAAAACTCAGGGCATTCAGACTGCCAGGTAAGCTCTCTACTCCAAGGAGCTCTCCTAATTCTATAAAAGTATAAATGTTATTCATTTATATTTTGTTTATATTCTACATATTTTGGTTATTCATTCATTAGTTGGTGACTATTTGGATGACTTCCATCTTTGGTCCTTTGTGGATGAGGTTTCTATGGAAGCAGATGAGCTGGGTCCCCTACAATTCTAGTATTGGTGTTTTGAAGAACCACCACATTGCTACTTTCCCATAGTAAGCACACCACTTTCAATTGCCACCACCAGCAAGGTATCCATTCAGCTCTAATGTCCAGATGACTCTGTGTGTGATGTGACTCTAAACAATTTTAGTTGCACATGGGGAAAAGCTGACCTACTAAGTAACAGTTATTCTGTAAAAAAGTCTGAGTGTTGACAAAATGCTTTCAATATAGAAAGTGTCTACCAAAATAAGAAATGATATAGAAATTAAAGCTTTGGATTAAAATAATTACTAAGGAAGACTCCAGAATTTGCAGAATAGATGATCAAGTAGCACAGTATTTGAAAATAAACTTATTACAACAGAGTTAATAGAAACTGCTTTCCATATGCTTGTGCCAAATCCTCTGTGTCAAACCTCACCTTCCTTCCTCCCGTCTTACATACGCGGTCTTCATCTATCTGGCGACTCTTATCAATTTTCACAAAAGAATCTCTACATCTCCCCAAGTACCTGTAGCTTTGCATGGAAAATATATAAGCACGCCTAGAAAAGGCTGACTTATTTCTCATCTGTCTTCTCTGAATAATCTATTCAAATGAGCTAAATGACACTTTGCATCTAATTAGCTTTATAAAGCTAATCTCTGTTTTTAGGAATGTATCTTTTAAATATTGCATCTTCTTCTAATGATTCTAAGCAAACTCCCTTCTTATCTTTCAGGAATTCCACTCGTCATTAAGGCTGTCCTCAAATACCACACAAGATTCTTTATCTTGAGATAGAAGGCGGAGACCCTAAAAAAATGACTTTAACAAAAGAAATGTATCTAGAGTACCTGCTTCATTGGAGCTTCTACTTTCTAAAGTTCTCAAATAAAAAAAAATCTTGTTAAGTTTCACAAATTTACAGACATTTCAATGTTTCTGTTTTGTAGTTTGCCTAATGCCACTATATGTGATTCTCAAACCGGTT